CAGGGTTGGGCCATTGGATGCTTAGTACCTGTAAGCTAATTGGGAAGTCTAAAAATATCTGGGGAGAAAACAATAGCAATTCACTCTTGTATTATCGCCAAGTAAATTTTACCCAGTTGCCCTTAGAGGCTGTAGAAAGAATGGGCTAGAATAGAGGTATTAAAATATCAATCTGACAACCCAGTATGAGTCACATTCTAAAGGATTCAATAATGTACTAATTAGTAAGCAGTGATTTCAGATTTTGGCAACATGTTTTCAATTATTTGGTAACTGGGGCTCCTTCTTGCGTAAAGATTTTCCATTTGCTATTTTTGGTATTGTTATGTCTATAAAGGTTCGTTCAAATGGTGTCTCCTCCTGGGCTAATTATATTAAGAAATGGATATTTTATACGAACATTACTGCACCAATCAGAGGAATAACTGCTTCCTGGAGAGCAGAAAAATATGTGCAATATGTTTTTTTTTTTTTTTATAAATATCAGAGTCAGACAGTGACTATGATGTCACACTAAAGCAAAGAACCTCCACCCAGGGTTTCCATTGAAGATGGCTGCTCAGACCTGAATCAGAAAAGGCAAAGGAAAATGAACTTGGGGCTGGACAGGGACAGACAGGGCATGCCCACGTGCACTTTCCTTCCATAGGTGTTACATAAGCCAACAGTCACAGGGCTTAACCTCTGGATCAATATTTCCTTCCCCTGCAAGATGTTTGGCCCCAATATTCTAAGACAGTGATGGCGAACCTTTTAGAGACCAAGTGCCCAAAAACCATCCCCCACCCCCGTCCCCACTCCACCCTGCCCACTGGGCCACCCACCACCTCCATGGCCTGCCGCAGATCACCCAGGCAGCCCAGCAGCGCATGGTGCCACACCCTCCACCCATGCCCCATAGCATCATCTGTGCGTGACAGGGCACAAGGGCGGAGTCTTGTCCCCACTGCCTGGCTACCATGTTCTTGGCTGTGCTGCTTTGCGTGGGCCACGCCCGGAGGTGACTCTCCTCCAGGGGGGCTGCTGGTAAGGAGAGGGTCAGGGGAGGTGGGGCTGGGGTAACAATGTGTGTGCCCACAGAGGGCTCCGAGTGGTGCCTCTGACATGCGTGTCATAGGTTCGCCACCACTGTTCTAAGACATGAAAAATCTAGCTTATCAGGCCTTGGTGAACCCCTGTAAGAGTTTGTCCTGCTCCCCCCATCCTTTTGGACACATTATCATTTGTTTCTTCATCTGATTGTTCTCTTTTTTATTATGTAAAGTGCCCAGTGTCCTTGTGGCTGGGCATTCTTCAAATCAATGTTTCTCAACCTCAGCCATGCTGGCTGGGGAATTCTAGGAGTTGCAGTCCACCCATTGTAAAGTCGCTGAGGTTGGAAAACACTGTCTTCCATCTATGCAATCTTTGTAAATCAATAAACAGATAAATCAATAAACAAAGTAGGTTTTAAGAGGTCTAAACTGAGCTAATATCTGTATTTACTCAAGATAAAGCCTGTCTGAATTAGTGCTGCTAGAAACAGCAGGTATCGGTTACATCTAGGATTCTGAGACAAAGAAATAATAGCTTTTCCCATTTTTGAAAACCCTAACTCCAGCTGCTGTCCATATCTGTCTTTTGCTTTGGGTGACATACATATTTCTGGACAGCAAAGGCAAAAAATGTAAGAATACACGACATAATTTATATTAGCAATGCCAGAGATTAATTTGGGGACATAGTAAGTTTTAAAAAGTAAATTAAAGCAAAATTGTATAAGTATAATTGGGAGGGTACATAATTAATTACATTTGTAGCTACAGATGAATGGGCCTAGCAAGCAAAAAAGGGCTTGAAAATAGTTCCAGCAGTTGCAAATATGGCAAGGGCGTAAACTTTTTGAGGAAACAACATCCTGCCTCATGGATAACAAATGGCATGTACTTCAACAGGAATCCATATTACATATTGCTGACTTTGAACAAAAAGTTCTGAGATGTGTCTAATAAATAGCTTAATCAGGGTTTCTATTGCAGAAACAGTACTTACTGCTCCAACTCCTTTTTTAAATAAAATTGTGAACTCAACATATGCACACACAAAGATATTTTTCCCTTAGCCATTTTGCTGAAAATGATAGCTTCCCTGTAATAAATAAAGCCTCTGCGACTTACATTATGGATATTATTTTTCCTAAACAGGATTTTGGAACACCACATTGTAATATAAACTGTTCTCTTGACCTCTTAGAAGACATCTTCAGAGAGGAAAAAGTCAGACTCTTAAATCTCAGAATACTGTATACTAAGATGGAAATGTGCAAGTTTAAAAAGAGATGAGTTTCTTTTAGCAAAAAATGTACTAGCAGATAATTTTAGACACTTACACTATCAGAAATTACAAAAATACTGTAGATGAATGTTGTACATCATTGCCATTATACATTGTTTAAAGTCAAGAGTTTTCTTTATTTTTCCTTGGATGAAAGTCTGATTTTTGATAATTATAAGCCATAGAAAGTTGATTTACACATACGCAATGTAATTTACGCAATTACAGTTTAGAGCAGTGGACAAAAAAAAAAATTAGGCACTGGGTGTGAGATTTTTGGCAGTCATTCAATATCTAACTTTCAAATTTAAACATCCAAATTGTGAGATTTCTGGGAGGACACAGAAATTTTAAAGGATTGGTGGAGTATTACTGTATAAAAATGTTTGCTAATTTGTGACTTCATGTTATGTATACCGCAAACCAGACCACAGTTATCTAAGAAAGAAGAAAATTGGTATGAATAAAATGGTCTGTGTTGTTTATCTCTCAATAGAAAGCTATTGATTCAAGATAATGGCATTTCAAAGTTCATCTGGGTGAAAAGACTTTGAACAAACCAATATGCCGCATTTATTGGAAAATGGCAAAGCTATGAATGCTACATTATTTCTCTGGCTTCTACATGCAACTTATTTATTCAGATCCTGTCTAACAATTAGGCATATTTCAACAACTGTATTTCTCATGCATGCATTATCTTTCTATTCCATTTTGTCCAAGAGTTTCAGATTGTTCACATGGTTGTCCATTGACATTCTGATTAGTCTGAGACTAGTGATTCCTCCAAAGTCAATCAATGACTTTCTGACTGAGTGAAGATGTAAACATGGAATTTACCCTATTCTAATTTAGCTGGTGTCACAGGGTTTGAACCTGGAACACTTTCCTTATGCCAGTTAGGATCCCTGTCCCACTAAACTTTTCAAAACATTATTTTAATGGGAAAAAATATTAGCCCCAGAATTATATTTAGTTGCCGCAATGTTTTAGACTATACAAAAGATTCTTCAGGCTTCTTGAGAGCACCCTAATAGCTTGCATTTTGATAAATAGGTTTTGCACTGTTAAACCATGCTCATGTTTTGAGAATAGGGAAATCTCTCAAGACAGTCATTTTGTGAATGTGCCCTTGCTCTGAATATTTCAAAGAAGCCTCTAGCTTAAAATGGCTGCCCATTCAGGCTTATATTACTGCATCAAAACATCAATAATCTAATATAAATAGGTTGACATAATTTCTGAACCAAGGGAATACACATTTCAGGCATGGGGAAAAAGATTTAATGACATGGTATCAGTAAAACAGCCAGGCACCAGGGATTTTGGTTCTTTAAAAAAATATTAAATAAATAATACAGATTACATAGTTATTGATGGTTTTTTGCTGACAGTGGCACAATGTATAAAAGTTCTGGTAACCACGAAGGGTGAATTCAAAAGCTGTGTTTGCCTACAAGCTATCCTTATTCTTAATAAGAAGATTAAAATATCAAAGATACAGTTTTAGGAAATAAAGCAATTTTATATCCATCATTTCAAGTTCATATTATAAATTCATTTTAAGTAAACTTTACTAAAACTCCCTTTTTTATAATCCAGTAATCCCTGAATTCAGGGCAGAGTTGGGCACCTGAATGGAGCTGAGCATTTACTGGCTGGATGCCCTTCCTGCCTCCACATGGAGTCTGCAGCAGGTATTTTTTCTTTGTGCCCTGAGAGAAAAACATCTGCCACTACTTAGGATTGAACTCAACCTTCCAAGTGAGAGGCAAGCATCTTCCCCACAAGGCCACTTGTAGCAAGTAAACTTTACTAATCTATTAAAACGATTTTTAAAAACCATTTCAAACCATTTTAAAAACTATTCACAAGTTGTAACTCTGGGCGGGCTACTCAGTGAAAAAAATGCAACACAGAGCCAAAATAGTAAAACTAACACCTATATGAAGTCGGCTGTAGCAAACATTCACTCTTGCAACCAATTGGGCTGATCTAAAATCTGGGATCCAATGCACAGGAAAAGCCAGATCTTCACAGCTTTATGAAAGACTGAGAACGAACGTTTTAAAATGAAAATAGCCATAATTAATAACAATACTATCCAGAAATTACCTCAGCATTCCTATTTTGTAAATTTCCTATGAAGATTAAAATGATAAAGATATAAATATTAGTTTTTGTTATTTATTAAAGCGTTGTGACAATGTTCCAATATAGTCCTGTACAATTTGTTTTGTATGCTTTTTTACAGTAAAAAGATATATTCACCAAATTGTCTTAAATATTCAGTTTTTAGATTAGTTTATATTTTAGAATTTAGCCATCTACATAATCTAGAACAGCACTTGAATCATTTGGAAATTCTACAAAATTCACTGAGAAATAACATATCAATAAACTTTCAACTTTGCTTCTGAGAAAAGATGATATAATTTGAGAAAGATCATTTTCCCATAATGGGATCAGCTATTAGAGTTGCAGATTCTCTACAGTTAAATATAAATGCTTCACCTATATGTAAATAGAACATTCTTCTACTGCAATATTGTATCAACTGAAACAAGTCCTCTGAAAAGAAAATGGTCCTTTTTTATATTCTCCATTAATCTTACTTTAATCTCGTATTTGGTATTAAAAAAAAAGAAAGCCAGCAACACAAATATGCAAAAAGACCAGACCACACATTTAATGTTGCAAATTACAGGCCTTTATTAAAATGCATGAAATGTATTTATTTTCAAATGCAAGTTTGGTAAACAATAGGTGAGAATACACAATTCAACATGAAGATTTTCTTAAGAAAAAAAAAAAGGATTCTTTTACTCCCCTCTAAAACTTGTTGGGAGTCTATAGCTTCTTTTATATTAATTACAATACTAGATCTTAAAAGCATTCAGTTTTGATTACTTGGCTTGAGTTATCAAATTCTACTACAGAATGAAGGCTGTTCATCATAAAGATCAGGTGACACTAAAATGCTGATAAAAAAAATACAACTGCCTTTAAAATACTTTCTAACCTCAGAATTATGTATGGATATTTTAGATAACTAACTGCAATGCAACTGTACCTTAGAAGTTTATACAGTATACTTGAGTGGGCCATTTCTTAATCCAATTTTTTAATTCAAAGCGTTTTAAGATCATTTATAAAACTTCATAAGGTTGCCTGAGCACTTTTGCCAAGTAATTTTAGCCTGAACAGCAATTATTCTCCATCACCTTTATTTACACTAGCTAAAACAATACCTTAGCTGTGCATGGAACAAAACAATAATTATTATCAATTATGTAACTACACTGGGAGGGCAATGTAGCACAGCTCCACTATTGATCATATTTCTCACATAGTGATATCAGAAGAACCCAACTGAAGTACGACCTTCAGCCAATAAACTACAATAAACATTTTTAGGGTGATTCAATGGAAAAACTTTTAACATTCAGACATGGGGCAGGGGAAGGAGGCAAAAGTCATATAATTAACTATATGACTCTAGTGTGAAGAACAAGCAGTGTGGAAATGTTAGTGCATTAAAAATAGACAGGTTAGATCAAAAAGTCAGTGAATAAGTTAAGATATATTTAATTCAAATATTGGCTGTTTTAATTTATAACCAACCTAATGTACATATATTCTCTTTATTATTTTCACATATTCCAAGAATTCATCTTTCTCTCTCACAGAGATTTACAAACAAATATGGCACTTTCTAGAAGGTTTTCATGGGCTGAAGGCTCTATAACAACAATCATTATTTTTGAAAAAAGAAAAGAAAAAGAAAATGACTCAAATGAATTTCTTTCCTGAGCAACTTAAAATTTGGAATGTGCTGAAAAGTCACAATAAATAAGTAAAAAAATGAGCAAACTTAAAATGTGCTTTTAAATTATTGAAAGTTCATTGTTTCATGGCAGATATATGGCCTGTTCTTTCAGAAATCTTAAAAGCTTATGTGCCAAATAAATTTATGAAGTACCTTTCTGGAAATAGAATAGAAGTCAAGTTGCTTATATAAAAACATACAACATTAACATCTAGCAAATAAATCAACTGGCAGCTCTTGCTTTTAATATTTCAAAGTATTTGTGGCAAAGAGTAATATTAAATAGCATGATAAAAATAGATTCTAGTGAAACTGCAGAGAAAGCAAACATGTTAAGTAATCCAGGATTCTTGTAGCACACACAAATTTTAACTTTTTTTTTAAACATTCCAGCATGTGAATATTAAATTGCTCCCCAAAAGAAAACAATTCCACAGTGTGTAAACTAATCATTACTCTTTAAATGTAATTTCACAGAAACCACTAAATATACAATGCAGCATTTTGGTTAAGTATTATTTCGAGCTCCCAGTGTATTTCTTCAGAGTAGTGCACTGGAACCACCTAGTGAGAAGATTTTTCATTCATGTTAAGTGTTCAGTCACAACATATTTTGTGTGTTCAAATCCTGCTATTAGCGTTGTAAAAAAACAGAATGCAACAGATATCCATCGACTCTGAAAAGGGAATTGGTTAAATGGGTGTTGACTAATACACACCAAAACAAGAACCAGTAACTTGGATAAATAGAACACGCAACCGTCTACTACATCTTTGTTCCTCCAAATGGTAATTTTTGATTATCAATAATAAATCTTGAGTATTACAGCCAGAGTACAAGTTGAGTATGCTGTTAAGAATACCTGCTTCTTATCTACATGCAAGAGTTAGGCTTCAGCTTCGAGAGAGAAAAAGAACTAATTGACATCTGAAGTAATCATAGCATATTCATCTTCAATCTTGTTTGTTAGTACATATCAAATTTTCAGAATAGTTGAGGCGTATTCATTATAAATTTCCACCTTCGGAAATAATGTCTTCAAATTAAAGCCAATTAATTTCATCAGTAACTAGTGCATTTACAATGTTACAGAACTGCTTTTTCCAAGATTCTTCCCATCCCATAAAGTTCTTATTCCCCTTTTATGGGTATTTTGCTTATTATCAAAACTGCTATGGAAAAAGGGATCGCCTTCAAATAAAAAAGAATATCCCGTATTTTCCCCTGTAGCCTAAGTTTAAAATCCATTAATATTAATTATCCTCTTCAATTATACTCAACTTCAGCACTGTACTGATATTTAATGATACTCACCTTCTTTAATTCCAAACATGTAACAACTCTCCTTGTTGCCAGCCAATTATTGGAAACACAGATCTAATTGGGAATCACTGAAGTTGTAGTCCAATATATCTAGAGCATGCTAGACTGCAGAAAACTCATTAATTAGGTTGCTTCATCTTCCTATTATGACTGTTGGTAATAGCCTGGTTGCATCTTTCCAAATGGTATTAGTAGCAATGGATAATTTTGTTATTTTAGAATGACAGTATTCCTTATTCAGGCAATGACAAATCTCTTATATCATGCTATTATTTCAATCTGCTCAAATAAAACTGTAATAGGTCAAATTAAATGCTACATCAGGCAAGCTAATTTTGTGAAAATTGCAAATGACCAACGAGGTGATATATATATATATATATATATATATATATCATTCTGCAAAAAGAAGGTACCATATACAAAAATATTGTACAACATCAATGTTATTTCTGATGAAACAAGAGATGATATACTTAAAAGTATGTTCTAACTACAATAATTCTATGGAGCTAAGGAAACAAACAAACAAAATATTTCAACAAATACACTTTTTCAGAAAGGCTTCTATCAGTTCAATCTAAGGGAAATGTCTTTTTAAATGCTGCTTTCACTCACTTTCTTCAGATTTTTATTAGCATTTTTAAACAATTTGGAATCAGTCTTGCATCACCTTTTATAAATATCTTCTAACCACTTTTCATCATCTTGCTCCTCATCTTCTGTTACTGGCTCTTCAGTTTCTAGGGGAGAAGGAATGGCAAATTCTGGCCTAGGAGAAGAGTTACCATTTGAGGATCTTAATCCAAACTTGCGTTTTAGCAGGTGGAACTGCTCTTTGACATAGTAGTAGAATTCATATTCATATCTCATGCGCTGGTACAAGATCTGGATGGATTCTGTTGAAGGGACGGTTTTTTTCACTGTCACAGTTAGATTGCCAAGCTTCCTATGCTCTGTAAGACATTTGCATAAAGAGGAATTTATGTCAAGACAATTACTTTCTGAATTACTAACATGCCCTCTGGAAGGAAGGAAATGAGCCTGCAAATATCTCAACGTTAAATAAAAAAAATATTTGTATTTTTATTTAGCATAATCTAAGCAAAACATTACTGCAAGGTTCTAAATAAGAGATGGTATTTCAAATATTCTAACATAAATAGAATCCAGACATTTAACCATGACTCCAGAATTTTCACAATGAATAAATCCAAGAGAAAACTAAAATTCACAACTCTTAAGTTGTGTCGATGAGATTACAAAGATCAAATGTAATCAGGGTTAAACAGGATAGACGGACAGACAGTAGATAGACAGAGATGGATGGACAGACAGACAGAGTAAAAAGTTCATCATAACAATTTAAGTCCTACAATTTCATCTTCACTGGGAACATATCTTAATGTGGAACCAACGTACAAAACTGAAAGTGTTTATAACAGAGAAAAACAAGAAATGATAATTGCAATGTGACTGTATTCTGCTGGAATCCTCTATTCATTTCTTATCTTCATTCATTTATATATTTTTGGGAAGAAAATCAATCACTAAATCCTTTTAATGCAGCATATTATATGTTTTATCCAATATGAAACGAACTAAATCAGTGGTTCTCAACCTGTGGGTCAGGACCCCATTTGGGGTCGAACGACCATTTCACGGGGGTTGCCAAACAACGCAGTCCGCTATTTTTTCCCCTTTTCCTTAGCTGTGCTACTCCCTTTTATTCTATTGGCTTTTGAAAGCCAATAGAATAGACTCTCTTGAATAGAGTCTAATTCTATTGGCTTTCAAAAGCCAATAGGAATTGTCCAGGCTGTCTCTGCCCTGCTGAGCCCGCCAAAAGTCCCATTCTGCAAATGGTGCTGCAACAGTTGAGTAGTCCTCGACTTAGGACCGGTTGAGTAGTCCTCGACTTATGACCGGTTGGGGGTCGCGGCATTAAAAAGGTTGAGAACCACTGAACTAAATGGTATGTGCAATCAGTTTCCTTTTCCTCCTTAATCCATGAAAGCCCAACCTATTGTCTTCCAAAAATTTAAAGTAGCATCTCAAGAGCCTCCCAAAAATTTTTGACCTGTTTTTTTAGCCATGCCTTCAATCAAAATTAACCTGTCCAATCTGCGTGTCAGGAGAAAACTGCTGGTGATTCTCCATTTTTGTAAATTATACAATGCAAGCAAGCACTGATTTTTGATGGCCTACATTATGTAATACCTTCTCTGGAGAAAACTGGCTTGTCCCTGCAGCTTTAGGATTCATATTTTAGAAAACAGAGTTACTCAGAAGAAGGTGACAGTGAGTGATAGGTTCCCCAAGATTGCTTGATTTTATGTTTGATTTTTTTTATAGTTTTAAGTTTTAATTTTACTTTTACTATGGATGTTTTAATTAATGTCTTGTTTATTGTTGCTCTTAATTACTATAAAGTTCTGAAAATCTGATCGATTACAGTAAATATTTTCATAACTTAAAACAAGCACACAAAAAGCTAACAGATGGAAATTATTACAGGAATCCTTGATTTATGACTACAATTGGGCTTGGAATGTTGATTATAAATTACAATTGAGGTGGTCGTTACTACTGTTTTTTATGACAGTCATAAAGTGAGACATCATGGTCAAATGTCCCATCCAGTCATTAAACTAATCCAGCATATGCAATGGATATTTTTGCCATTTTCTTCTAGAAAACTACAAAAGAGGCACAAATTACATTTACATCAGGAGTCCCCAACCCCCAGTTTGCAGCCCATTCAGAACCAGGTCGCAGAAGTAGTGGGCATATGCGTGCATGTGTGCACATTTGTGAAACAGTGCATGTGCACGAAAACATCCCCTGTCCCCCTGCCAATGCCACCCGTCCGCCTAGCTGGAAAGGTTGGAGACCTCTGGTTTACATGACTGTGAGATGCTGCAATTGGTTGTAAATGCGAGCTGGCTGCCAAGCAACAAAATGCGGTCATGTGACCGTTTGAGGATATTGACACAGTGCAACATTTTATGATAGTCAGCAGTGCTTTACAGCCCATAAAACACTTTTTCCAAGGCCCTGTAATTTCAACTAGTAGTTAAGCAACTGGTTATTAAGTGAGGACTACCTATAAACAAATGGGGAGAAATTATTTCAATCAACTAAATTAAAATAGTATTATTTTTTGTCCTGTCCCCATCTAGTTTCGGAATATGACTCCTTGCACAAAGCCTTCTGCATTCCTACTTTAAATCTGAGACTATGACTCAACAGTTTTGGAACATTATGTTTGTATTACAGATAACAAGGAATTTTTTTGTGGGATGGCAAGATGAAGGATTCAACCTTTTAAACCTCATTTCCTCCAGCACTAAATCCTTGCCAGCTGCCTCTACACAAAGCGAGAACTATTAGGAATGTAGCACCCTGTGTATCACCTTTCGAAGGATAAGCTATGTATAATATTATTCACTGCTACAGATTTTAAATACCAGCTGCTGAAGCAACACTTACCTGGAACCATTATGTGAAAGATGGATTTCAATCTTTTTTTTCCTGATCATACATGTATTGGAACTGGGGAAGTGGCATTGATACTGCCTGCACTGAAAGGAAAGGAACCTATCTGAGACTCTACTTGACCCTTTGATTTGTCTTTAGATGGTGCTGTTGATATTATTTTGGACCTTCTTTTCTTTATCTCCAGTTGTGACCCTGGCTGGGCATCCCAGTGTAAATGTTGAGATCGACAAGCTATATCTTGTACAGGCATTTATTTACAAGAGCTCCTGCTGGCTCATGAGCTTGTGCATGTCATCTTACCAATTTCCCACATCAGATTCTACCGTGTTATTTCCCCCAAGTACTATATAGGTCAGTCTTGATTCTGACAGAGGTTCCAGTGGTAGTAAAAGATTAAAATGTGCCAGGTCATTGTCCTAATATGATTGCTTGATCCAGGTCCACATTATGTTTAAAACCATTCAGTGTAAAACATGTGACTATATAATTTAGTTTGCCTCTGAAACAGCCTCATAGGAGAGTAAGTGGAGTGAATTAACTATCAAATACTCTGGCTGTTCATCTATACTAGCTTGCTTTTCTAGGAAGAATAAACAACAATGAAAAACTGCCTAGCCTCACTGCACTAAAATCCTCATCCTCCATCATGACTGACGTTAATTTGCCATTATAGATTTGAGCCTAATTAACCAAATCACAACCTCTGTCATGGTGCTGATCTCCACCTTCTCATTTTGTTTATACAACTATGTATTTTCTTTAAATAACTCTTTTAATAAAAAATCCTACGTAACTCTCAAACCTGTTTTTTGAACTTACCAACCCAACTCATCTATGAAATGTGTACAATGAAAAAAAAAATGATGCCTGTTTGGCTCCATGCCAGACCAAACATATTAAAAATGCTGTGTAAACTCAGCTGCTTCAGTTGAAGACAGGAAAGCCATACTTTATATGACCTTCTAGACAGGTTGCCATATGGAGGGCAGCAAACTGTGGGCGATTTATTTTAGAAAGCTTTATTTTGTCTTACAGTATCTGCTTTGGCTTTTTATTACTTAAGTCAACCAAAGCTCAGTTTGCACGTTTGATAAAATCTATGCTAAAAATAACAAAGCAGAAAAAAATAAGGCAAAACAATCATAAACATTTGCCATGTGAAGCAAAACTCCAAATTTCCTTTTATCTATCTAAAAGCAATGGAAAACCAAAAGTAATGCTTTGCTAAGTATATATTCTGTATATTTTTCTAAACAGACTTTTTTTTTAAAAAAGCCCAAAGTACTTACAACTCTGTGAACCACTAATTGTACAAAAATATATTCTAGCTATTTTCTACAATAAAATGATGAGTTACAATAGATGTTATACACTATATGACAATACACTGTTAAGATAGTGCTGAGATAATGGATCACATATATTTATTACTCTTACAGCCTGAACCCTTGAAAGAATGGGAAATACCAGAGGCAATGTTTTGATACAGAGTTCTCAATGTTTATAGAAGCTTTACTCTAAAGATTGGCAATTGTCCAAAAAACTTGTGGAGCCAGATTCTTTCTTCAAACATAACAACATCTAGCTGATTAAAAATGAATATATTAAATATGTTTATTTTAGCCAATGTTCTCTTTCATGTTCTCTTAATATTTCAAGGTTAGAAGTTCTGTTTTTGGTTAAACAAATCTCATGTTCAGGTTTGATAACTGCTTAGCTTTCTTAAAAGAAACAATCAAGGAATTATGTGATTGAAGGTATTCTTTCCTCTTCGTCACAAATATGAAATTAAACAGTATTGTATCTGTAATCCATTTCAATCTGTTGTTTAATTAATTTGGGGGGGTGATCTTCTATTGGCTGGGGAATGCAAATTATTTATCAAATTTATATATTGGGAAAGCTGCAGGATCCCTTAATGGGGCGGTGATTTCACTTGCAGCAATAGGGTGTTTTTTCTGCCCAGTTTTGGGAATTGGTAGGGGAAAATCTAGGAAGCAAAGTGCTCCTCTTTTTACCTTTGAAGCTGTTCTTCTTTCCTGCACATATGCACTGTAAAAACATACCCTAAAAATTGATGGCAAGTAACTAAATTTTGGGTACATGAACTTGGAACATTATGTTGTTGTTGTTAGTTGTGAAGTTGTGTCCGACCCATCGCGACCCCATTATATATATGGAACATTATAGAGACACTTTAAAAGAAGAAGGGGAGGTGAGCTGTCTCTTAGAGACTTCTCACTCTGAATTCCATTCTTTTAAAGAAAATATGGATTACAATTATAGACTGTACGCTGCACTGAGATCTGAGGAGTAATGAGTCATTTTTAACAATTCCAAAATGAAACATGGGGGAAGACAGCTGATGGTTCTTTTTCTGCTTTTGCGTCATATTTAAAGCCCATGTTTTTTAAAAAAACATTTTCTACTTAAAAGCAATTTTAGCAATAGGTGG